CCTCTAGGAACTTTAGCATACCACATTGGCCCTGTCCATCTAAAGTGCCTCCCTGCTACTAGTTCTTCATCTTTATCTTTCTCCTGAGGTAGAAACGATATATGACAATATCAATAAATTAAATAATACTCATGCATTATATTATATTTATACTTATATCTATTCATATTGTATACACATATATTTCAATTATAAATAAGTAAATGCATGAATTCTTTAAATAAAACAAAACAAGTATTTAATATTAGCTATATAAAAACAATAAACAAAATAATTTATATAAATCATTGTTGACAGGAAAATTGCATGGGGCATGGCCACAGTATGCGATCTGGTGCATCACGTATCCTGAAAATTGGAAATAATCAGTGAGTGGGGTTGCATAAGCAATAACAAAATAATTAGAGTTTAAAATAGACTTTCCACAACTTCCCTTGTAAGAATAGTCTATCAATAGTCTAATTTCCTTGTTATCTTATGATATAAATAGAAGAGAAAATTGTAGAAAGTAGGAGTAGTACAAAAATTATAAAAAATGGTTCCTTAAATTAAAACCTTCTTAATTAGGACGTGTTATAGTCATTGCCAAAAGGAGTAAAAACTAATTAACTTACCTAATCTAGTACTTGTCATAGATAGGATGCTTAGGACTACGAAGAGAAAAGTAATAAAGATCCATCAAGAGAAGCAACAATGGAAAGAGAAGGAAAAAGATAGTGGAACTTGGCTAAACAATCCACATGCCTCGAGTAGAGAAGCCAAACACTTACCGACATTATGCAAGGAGTGCTCCGAAGAAGCGACAGACTCACCGAGAAAAACGTCAACACCATATACAGATTTTCAATCTAATTACATGTTATTTACTCTATTTAATTAATCTATGCTATATTTGTTTTTAATAACTTTGATTTATTTGCCAATTTATGTATTTTTTTGATTTCTTGAAATAATTATTGTGTTATTTTAACCATTTATTATTTTATAAATCACTTTTGGATCTTAATAGATCCCTAGAAATAGAACCAAACAATGTCGACACATTGATCATTCGTGGAACAACCTACAGAATGTTGAATAAATATAATGAATCTCTTTCAGATCTTAATAAATCACTAGAAATAAAACCAAATAATGCTGAAGCATTGAGGATTCGTGAAGTAACTAACAAAATGTTAAACGACGAGACAGACTAACGTGACGCGACGATCATACCGGAAATTCGGAAATAGGATTTGGTGAGAGTGACGATATCGATTAATTATCTGTACTGTACGTACAGTATATCATTTTTTAGTTTATAGCGTTTTTTAGGTTATAGCGTATATTTGATTTGTATCATTTATCTATTCTATTAAATTCTCAAAGCTAGAAAAATTAGAACACTTTTTAGTGCAGTAGGGATAGAAAAAATTAGACAAGTTTCATATAGCGCAAATGCAATTTCTAGCCTTACTTATATACAAATCCAAAACATCATAAATTATGTTAACGAACAAACTTCTACTTCCTCTATCCCGTTATCTCATATCTCTAATTCGGAAGATATTATAAGTGAGGATGACAAATCATTACTGAAGACTGAGGTGGGTATACCTATCGAATCTCATGTTTCCGATTCATCTAAAGAGATAAATGTTTCACCAGAAAATCAGATGAGTGTATCAACATCCCCACCATATGAGAACAAATCTCGACCTCCAATTTCTATTTTACATGAAGATCCAAAAGAAAAACAAAAATTTTTAATTAAAATGGTATTGGAAAAGATTCCCAATTTATCTTTTAACTATACTTTTTACTTTAATATTCGGGTTAAGTTTTTTTATTGCCTTTTTATTAATTCTTCTATATTCCTCCAAACCAAGATATCCAAGTTTTGGACATTAATGAACAATTTCACAAATTGTTTTATCAGTGATTGAATCAAGACCAGAAAAATTTAAATATTCTAAATGGAGGCAAAACGTGCCATTTCTATTATATGTTTATCAGTAATATTATGGCAACTTTATGAAAAAGCTAAATTTATAAATTTTAAACTTGAACAGAATCGCACTATTTCAGTGATGCATTTACTAGTGACACATATACATGAATTAAGACTTAAATGCATTAGTTTTGGGCAATACCTTGCGATTTCTATAATTGGTATATTACTGAAACTATAACTTTGATCAAGAATAAGAAAACGTATATTTGGACATGAATACAGAATTGCACTAATCAAAGCATCAGAGATTTTTAAACCTACCAAACCAAGATATACCATCTTTGAACAATAGAGTGGCTTTATCTCTCCACACATAGCTCTTTTAAACCTCAAAAATGCCAATAAAGATTTCCAGATGAATTATTGCCACATGTTTTTCCTCAATAATTTATGAAAAAATCAATATCTCGCTATAGAATAGTAGCACTATAGTGATACCAAAGGCGGTTAACAAATAAATCTGGATAGAGGAATCGATTGAGTTCTAAAAAATATAAGATTTGTTCTAGCAATTCTGATAAATCAAAAATATTCAGTCGTATTATTCTTAACATTAAGTTGTATATTATATATTCAATTGAAAAAATAAACAATAGTTAACCCGAAGCTGGCTAATACCTAATTATCCATTAATAGAATCATGAGTATAGCTTTGCCTACTCTGATATAGGATTTCTGTTATCAGTTCAGTTATCTGCTCTATACCTAGTTGAAGTGAAATATGATATGCCAAATCAAAAATATGCGGAACTTCCCAGGTGAATCGATCAATACCTTTTACTTTAATATCTGGGTTAAGTTTTTTTATTGCATTTTTGCTAATACCCCAACATAATCGTATATTAAGAAATTTTAGATTATTAGATGAAGTTGCAATTTTATCTATGGCTAAATCAGAAATATCACAACCAGAGATATCGAAATACTCACAATAAGGTGCAATATCACAAATAAATGCATCAGTAATACATATGCAGTAGGAAATATTTAGATACTTCATATTACAACATGATTATGCAATCTCAGAAATAGAGAAATCAGTTATTTTCTTATTATTACAAATATATATAATACAATCCAAAACTCTCTTTTTATTACATCAAGCAATGCACAACATTAGATCATAGTGTACTGGTCCCTTAAAAAATCTTTAACATAAATCGTAAAGCCTATGGACTACATCGTAGATTATACCATTCGTCGGGAGGCTGCAATTTTAAAATTTCTTCGGGCAAAGAAATAAATTGGGCGAGCATTCCAGACACAATATGAAACTAGTATAAACATATAAAAATTTAATAAAACAAAACAATTGTCACCAGAATAAATATCATTTTAACAAACCGTCGAGTGACAATGGAACGCCCATACTCCAGGATTATCATTTATGAAGCGAATTTTTACCCATCTACATAACAATAATATAGTAAACAAATTACATTATTGCATTGTAAGTAATTTGTTTTTTCTTTAAAAAAAGAAAGACTCACCCAAATTTGGGAACAACGACAACATCCCGTTTAATAGGGTATTCAATATTTATACCATTACCTAATGGAGTGGTTGAATTTCCAGTTCCAAGATGCCAAAAGGAGTGACCATGCTA